AGGCTAGGAACAACAAAAGAGTAGACTCCTCTGCTCCACATTGTCTGCACCAGCCATGGTGGCTGTTGATCAGAACATGATTTTAAGAGGTGACTTTTATCAGTCATTGCCATCACAGTGCTCTGAAGATGCCTCTTCAGCAAGGGAGAATAAATCTCAGCAGTTCCATTGTATGACAGCAGTTAGTATCAGGCTTAAAGAAAGTGTCGAGGTGGAGTATGCAAGTGTTGCATGTCTGTCCAGATCCAGAGCATAAGGAAATTTTGTTTAGTGCCTACCACAGATGTGTCAACTCTCCTATGTGTTTGTTGAAAGTGTGTGTGTGTACGTACAGACACACACACACACACACACAGAGAATATGCATATATTCTGTATCACTGTTCTCTGGTGTCCTGCTGGTTGGACTGCAGTAAAGTCCTGGAGAATGCTGTAAACAGTGGATCCACGGGCCTGCATCAGATTTTGTTTGCATACATACTCAGCCCAAAAGAAATGAGATTGGTAAAGAAATGCTTTTTACTGTGACCAAGCAATGGAATAGGTTGCCCAGAGAGGTTGTAGGGCCTCCATCCTTAGAGATATTCAAAAGCTATCTGCATGTTGCCCTGGGCAGCCTGCTGTAGGTGGCGCTGCTTGAGTGGGGACATTGGAAGGGATCTCTGCAGGTCATCTTCTCCAGCCTCAGCCATTCTGTGAAAATAATTTTATGGTGCTTTGGTGTGAAATTACACGTGGGTGCTCTTGAATGACTCACGTAAACTAAAACAGTTACTAAAAAATTAATTGAACAAAGCTCAAAGTTTTATTTGCAAGAGTTGTTGAAATAGATTTGTACAGAAGAGCAAGTGGTTACTTAAAAAGAGGACTTTGAGCGTAGACAGCCTCAGAGGGATGAAGACATGAGCGTCTGCATGGAGCACAGTTGAGGTAATCAAAAAGTGTAATTATGTGTCTAGATCTGCATGACACATCTCTTGCTCCAATGTAGGCAGGTAATGTTGCCATTTTTTTGATTGGTATTTGGAGTTCTGTTTTTGAAAAATGATAATATGATTGATGAATTGTTTCAAAAGAGTTTTGTTAGTCAGAAAGTTCAGGATTGTTATTTCAGGCATAGTTTGAAAGTACAGTATCAAGGCTTAACAGATGTTTATTTTAAAAAATGTGAATGTATCCAAACATTGCATATACATGTCTGTTCCTCCAAATAAGTTGGAGAAATACACACATATCCTTCTCTGTGCTTCACACAGAAAAATAATTTTGTGTTTATGAATTAGCTGGGTGTAAAGGGCTTGGGAAACCTTCATGGAACATAAAGTGAAGTGCTACAAGTGCCCAATGGGAAGAGGCTGTTACATTTATATTGACATGATGTGAACTTCTAGGCCTTTGGCCAGGCTGTGTTCATGATGGGTTAGGGTCAGACATATCTGGTTGATTTCCGTCATCTTCTGGAATTGAAAAGATTATTTGCAACAGTGATGCTTGGTGGTTTCCCTACGTTGGGAATTTACTTCTCTTTCGCCATAGAGCTACGGAATCCTTTAGTTTGTATACAGTCAACTTTTTCTATATTCATTAGCTTATCTTTGCTTTATCTCTTCAAATCATGTAAATTGCCATTGACAAACAGTGCACGGAAGTAACTTGCAGTTTAAATTATACTATCTCTAATACATTAAGAGTAATTTGTGTGTAGATCCACAGGATCTAAAAGGAGGCCATTGGGGATTTATTGTTTTGAGGAATGTAAGAAAATGCTTTTGCAGGTCTCTTGGTATGGTAAAAACTCCGGCTTTCTGGAATTTAATGATGGAGTTTTAGAATGTAAAATATGTTTTTAGCAAAACCTATGTGGTGATGAATTTATATAAACTAATTACAGCATATCTTTTTTTACCTTACATATCTGTTTACATAGATTAACACTAGAGATAGAAATCCATAATTTCCCCGTTAATCTGTTCTCTTCTGGTTTGCTCACCAAGCTTGCTAGAAAAATATATTTATATATTCTAAGCTTGTACGTTAGTAGGTGCCATTTTCTGAATTTAAAAATAGACTGCATGTGTTGCATAAAATGCCTTTGGGTAGGAGAGGAGGGGCATATCTGTCTGGTTGACGTGGAACGTAAGAAAAAATCTGAAGTACGTTAGAGCTAAATATACTGATAAGCATGCAGCCATGGGGGAAAATGAGTTAAAATATATTGAGCTTAGTCTTATTAGCACATTAAATGCCAGCAGAACGGTCATACCCAACCTTTCATTTCAGAAATAATCACCATTTTGCTGTGAAGACAACTCAGACCTTGCAGCATGTGCAAACAAAGGAAATATTTCTTTAGAACCTTGTTACAGGGCGACGGGGGTTTGCTCTTTGTTCTGCCAGCCGTCTGCAGCGCTGGTGCAGAAAATGGACGCTGGAATGTTTAAATAAACTTTAGACGCTGTAATCCCACAAACATTTTGAACTCATTCTCCATTTTAAAGGTAGGTCTGAAGGAGATGTCAAGAAGCACGGCTGGGCGTTTTGCGACGGCTCAGGGTGACACACCTTGGGCCGCACGGCTGCGCCACTTCCTTTGGAGGAGTTCCTCATTGCAGGGGAAGGTGTGAGATTGGTGCAGGCTCACGAGTACGATCACTGCAGCGGGAGGCCCTTGCCGAAGGGGCAGGTTGGCCTGTCTGTTTATCCCTCAGTCACTTCAGAGTCGGTGAGATCTGTTACGACAAGCTAGTGAAAAAATCCTAGGAGGATTACCAGAAAGGTAACGTGTTTTCCTGTCAGTGTAACTAAGCTGGCAACAGAGTAGTGTTCTTCAACTCATTTATATGCTGTGCATTTTAAAATGTCTTGGCAACATAGTTTGATTCACGGGCAGGAGTGTAATAAGGTTAATACGGTTCAGCCAAAGGCAGCTTGCTTTCCTCTGGCAGCGTGCCTGCTGGGGCTGCCCTGTCTGCGGGGCGGCTGGAAGGAGCTGGAGCGGCTGGCATGGTCTGTGTGCCATGCTCAGGTGTGTGCGAGGACCCTCCGTGGTGGCCAAGAAGGTGCTGGGGATCCCGAGAGATGCAGTGCAGGCTTTTCTTTTGGAGTGTGCCGAGCCTGGTGTCATGGCAGAGGGGCTGCTGTTGCTGGTGCCCAGTAAGAAACGTTTGTCAAGGCAGCAGAAGGCGGAGTTTGGAATGGGAAGGCTTAAAGTCCTCCTGCATAGCTACTGCCCCTGAGCGAGGGCCACATGCTGCCAGGTGGACACTCTGGAGACTCGAGTCTCTTCCAAGGGTGGTACATTTCTGAGGAATAAACTTGCCGTAAAAATAGTCTGGAACCTTTTACAGGGTCTGAGAAAACTGTGGACCAACTCCTGTTGGCATTGGCAGGGAACAGGCTTTGACAGGTAGTGCCTGTAGGTATGATCATGGACGGGTGTAATGTAATTTGATTTACTGGATTTGCATCCACTACTTTGGGCACTGGATTTGACTCTGTTTAGGTAGCAATGCTTTGTGTATGTTTGGAGACCTCTTTATAGTAATGCTAGAGTTTGATTATTGGGTATGGAGGGCTTCCTTATTTTATTTTGTGGCTGCTCTGGCTTAGAGAGTTCTTCATATGACACAGGAAGGTTTGAAAACAAGCCCCTGGCTAAGTCCTCCAAAGTGCTTGTGTCTGTCCAAATCGCTTTTAGGTTCTTTCATTTTTTTAGTAGGGTTCAAATATAAAAACCTAGAGAGCACTGAGGTTGGTTAGTGGCATCGGCAATAGTAATCAAACATAATTCAAATGACTGTCATATAAAGGAAGGTAAGATAAGGTAGGGGGAGAAGGCAGCAAGTCACTTCATAAGAGCTCCTCTGAAACTCAGCTCTGCTCTAATCTGCTTTTCAAATCCCGCTTCTTCTGCCCTCATGGAATGAATCAACCTGACATTTTAGCAATTTTTTAAAGAAAAGGGGTGAAGTGTTTAGAATGCATCAAAGGGATGAAGCAGAGAACATCTGAAGAAGATTGTCTTTTATCTGTTATCCCTTTCTTCATGGAAGAGGAGCACAAGTAGGATAGGTCTTTGTCCCTGCTTTTCACTTTATGAAGTTTTGTATTGTTTTAGTCAAGAAGGTCTATTGCCGGAATTACTGTACATAACTTTCATATTCAGCATCTTTGATGATGTGATTTATCAGGAGGATGTGGTCTTTTGCTCTTCTTTTTAGATACTATATGTATCCTTTTTGCTCTGAAAATAATGATGTTCTAAAGTAGACCAACAACAGGTTTGGAGTACATATGCAGATACATACACTTATATTTATATAAAATACATGTGTGTATCTCTGTACAATACATGCATCTATCTCTGTACGTATATAGTATCTAGAGTCATATTTACAACAGAGATGTTTTTATTATGTCAATCCAACTGTTGTAAATGCAGAGAAGTTGGTAGAAAAGAATTAACCATATTTTCTCTGAAAGTTGTAGGGGACAAAGAATCTGACTTTTTTCTTTCCCAAGTCTCTCTTTAGTGTGCAGCTACTCTTTAGTGTAGTGCTTTTGAATGATTGTCTTGAAAAGTGCTCAGTACAAGTCTGTTTGCCTTGTGCTGGTGTTGATGTTAGAAGTCTTACAAATTTCTCTAGGAGCAAAGTTAAGGCAGTGCTGAGTCCATCCCAAAAGGTCTCACTTTTCAGTTGTTCCTGCTGCTGCTGTTGAGCTGTAGAAGCTGACTTAAGTGTTTCTGAGAGAGAATGTTTTTTAGAATGTGTTAATAACTTTCCTTCTAGTATGATTTGGAAGTGTTTCATTTCAGTATTCCCTGCAAGTATAGCTTGAGCTATTAGTTGCAATCCCCGACCCTGCAACCCCCCCCCCTTTATTTTATATAGAATGGCAGTCTGAATTGAATTGGTAAAGAAAATAACACAACTTAATAATATACATGTATTTCAACTTCAAGCAAACTATTAATATTTATTTTTTATACTTTCCAGAGACACATGGAATCACATTTAGAATTCAAATCAGTGTGAAAGAACTGCTGGATACAGATGTACTTTTAAAGCTGTTATTTCATTTACCAGTCAATTACCCATCAACTCTACCAGATATTTCTGTTAACTCAGACCAGCTTACAAGGGCCCAGTGTAAGGACGTGAAAGATAAATTACTTGAACAAGCAAAGAAGCATCTTTCTGAACCCATGGTACATGATCTGATTCTTTGGATACGGCAGCATCTGAAATATGTCATTAAGCAATCAGCAACAGTTTGCAATGAAAGAACCACTTTGTCAAAGGGAACAAGTACAGAGGACGGTATCTGGATGCTCCTTTTGCATTTAGATCATATGAGAGCAAAGGCAAAATACGTCAAAACTGTGGAAAAATGGGCTTCAGACCTAAGGCTGACTGGAAGACTGATGTTCATGGGCAAGATAATATTGATTCTTCTTCAGGGCGACAGGAGCAACATTAAGGTGCAGGAACAATGAATGTTGACTGGTTACATTGATTTACCACTGAAATCTGTGTGTCTGAATATTTAATATGTGTTTTTTTAAGTTTAACAATTTTGGAAGCAGGTTGGTCATGAGGAAGGTAGGGAAGTCCAACAGCTTTATTCTGAATTTAAGAAAAAGAAGATAATCTATGAGGAAGAAACCAGTGATGCCTGTCTACCTGTGGCCTGTATTGCTTTGCTTCCTACTGTAATTATACCCCTGTATTCCCTGTGTTTCCTGGCTGTGATAGATGTAGGTTCAGTCTCCTGTATTTCTCAGATGCCCCAGGAAACAAACTTTGTAATGAGAAATTAATAACAGGCATATCTCTTGCCCGTTGCTAACTGTGAGTTAGACCACATGGTGCTCCTGGTGCACACCTCGGCTTTGTACTTCTTGTCGTGCTTATGAACTCCCGCTGCGTTAGGGCAGGTTTTTGTGGTGATACTGGAGGAGAATGTTTTGGCTTTTCAAGCTCCTCTTCTCTAATCACTTAAGACTGTTCTTAGCTTCAAGCTGATGAATAGAAACAGCCATGTACTTTTTGGGATGGGCACTTTCAAAGTTTCATTGCTGTCTTCAAGAAAAAAAAGTATGTTTCGCATAGATTTTTGCATTTTACTAAACTTCAAAGATACTAGGTGACATTTAATGTTTTGTTCTTTTTTGTCATTTAGGAGTACTTGATTCTTCAGAAAACTTCTAAGGTAGATGTGGACTCAAGTGGGAAAAAATGCAGAGAGAAAATGATTAGTGTACTCTGTGAGACAAAAGTACAGTCACAGTATAAAAGGTATAATTTAGTACTGTTGTGAACAGAAAAGTAACAGAATTGATAATTACGTTCTGACAAATCTAAGCATACTCATGAGTTTCCCTTTTACAATGTAGGTTTCAGATGTTTGAAGTTAAAGAGTATTCAACACTGGATGAACTACAAAAGGAATTTGATGCTGCAGGACTTACGACTCTTTTCTCAGAGTTTGTGCCTCCTCTCTTAAAATAAAATTAAAAGAAAACGCTGGACTCTTCAACCAAAGCAGTAGTTGACTGCAGGTGCTGATGGAAGATTAAAGGACTAATTTGGCAAAAAATGTTAGATCTTTTCTGCAAAAAAAGCCAGAAGTAGCCCTCCTCTTACAAGAAAGGAGAAGGCAATTCATGTGTTAAGAACTGATTTTTTTTTTTTTGCATTTATGTATTGATAACTTTTTCCAAGGAATATTGAGTTAATTGTGGTAATTGCGTGGCAATCATGAGAGATTGGGAAAATGTCATGTTAAAATAATAGTCTTCTAGTTAGGCTCTGTTTTGCAGTCCCTGTTTTTCAGTGTTTTGGGTTTCATCTCTCATGGTAGTGTTTCTTCATAATGGCCTGCTAGAAAGCGTGATTCATTTTGCTTTGAAAACTTATACGAAGACATTTCTATAAAAAGCATAGCAAACAGATTTGAATATGTGAGGACAGCAAATGCTTAATATCCCTTTGGTGTTCATCTGTCGACTTTTCCTCCATTTATTTGACTATAAATGTTAGACTGTTGATTTAAAGAAAAAGCTCATGTCACTTGGGGCCTGAAAAAACTTACAAGTATATTTCTGAATGTTCATTTTTATTCTAAAATGTATAAAAACACTCAAGTGAAGAATTTAAATTGATTAAAAAGTTAAGGTAAAGCCCATTGTAATATTTTCTTTGGTAGTTTACAGATTCCTTTTTGTACTTTATCTGGTTTTACTATCTGTGCATCTTGAGATATCTTGATTCAATTAAACTGTCAGAGCAGTGTATGCATCAGACTTCAGTCTTCTGTCTCTCAAGACTTCTGTAAAGTCTCCTGTCATTTGAGAAGCTGGTAAGTTACAATTCCCTATTAACATTTCCCCACCCCTATAATTTTTTTAGTGACTGGTCAGTGGCCTTGGCCAGCTTATGATTTTTTTATTAGTTTGTGTTTTACTTCAATATAATATTACAAATTATATACGTCATCTTTACAAATTAAGTTGTGCAAGTTCCATTTGCCTAGGGAGAATTGGATATTTATTTCTTAGAATTATAAATGTCCTTTGCTTTCTGTTTTACTGGATACCATTCTCTAGCAAGACTGGATGAGTTGTCCAGTAGTAAAAATTTTGCAGCCCCGAGTTTCTAAATAACTAGCAATGCCATTTCAATGGGTTTTAGGATGTAGTTAAACATATGCTTTACTGATCTCTAAAACTCACTCCTGGAAGCCAAGTGTCTCATGTATTCTTCGTTAACTGATTAGATTCGATCAGTTCAGTGTAAATTTGTTTATCTCATTTATACTGGGGGAGGACTGGTGCAGTTTGGTTAGTTCTCGTAGTGTGATTTGGCAAATCGTTATGTAAGACGTTTTGATTTCCAGTTTCCATACTCAGACTGTGAGATCATACCTCTTTTACTGTTTGAGATAGCAAATGCGTAGAGTTGTAGACTATTTCAGAGTTTCTTAGTTTTCCTAATACGGAGTCTCTCAAATACGTATGTAGCATATTGTTTTATGCACAGAGGCTTATTTAATGAGGCATTAGCAAAAGCTCTGCTTAATGAGTCTTTTATGCGTAGCACATATAGTACTTCAGGCACAGTAGAAAACAGTCTGGATTAAACAGATTTTACAAATCTGCTCTGTATTATTTTGAAATGGCTTCCTGAGAGAAAGGAAATCTAATTTTCTGTCATTGTAAGTGTATGTGGATATGAATTTTTACTTTTATAAAGAAGAATAAGACAGAAGGATCTAAAATATTAAAATAACATGTATTTTAAATTCTAGTTTTCAGAACTGAGCTACTGTCAGTGAAAGTTATCTGTGTTGAAACATTGTGTGTCAGTGGAATATAAAATCTTGAAAGATGCAGAGGCTTTCTTCTTATACCGTGCGATAGATCTGACAAGTGTCAAACCCAAGGAAAGGCCTCTGCCTGTGGAGCGTTAGGAAACGTGATTGGTAGGTATCTCTCTGCAAATCTCAATGTTATAAGGGTTTGCCAGATGGTTTTTATGTCCTCAGCCAGATCTTTACTTTAAAATGCTCCACTTTTCTGGAAGGAGAGTAGCAAGATACTTCAGCACAGCCTATATCACAATCTTGGCCACTAAAGTCTAACTGGGGCCTTTTCCAACACGCATATAAATCAGTTGCGTGTGCTTTCTTTCGACTTTGGGAATGGGGTTGGATAATGTACCTAATCATGTGATCTCAAATTGCACGTGACTGCAAAAATAATTGAGGCATGCAATAGTGATGGACATCTTTCTTGGAAGATTAGAGGCAGACTCTCCAAATTTTTCCTCCCTACTATGAAAGCGATTGTAATTAGCTGCATAAGAAAAGCCATTTTTAGGGTCAGTGGTCAGCAGTTGCACTTGGATGTAAATTCATACATTTTCTTGAATATTATTGCCCCGTGCTCCCTTGGTTAACTGTTTGGTCAGAGCTAGCATTCTGCAACAACCAGTTAAAAAAAGAAAGTTAAAGAACAAATGAAAGTTGGGGGTTGCAGCTCTCGTTTATCTGTGCCCATCTACTTGCCAAATGAAACTGTGTTAAGAAGCTAGATGATTTCTGTATTTCAAGAGTTATAAAAAGCAGTTTATACAATGTATTTGTGTCACAGTTGCATATGTTACTAACACTGGACAAATCTTAGGGAAGGACTGTGGCTTTTTTCCTTGATTTGATGTGCTTCAGGAGAATTACAAATTTGATCAGCTTGATACTATTCAGACAGCAGAGAACATGAAAACTGATGGCAGTCTGATTCTGTCAAAGCAAATGCTTTTGCTTACTCGTCAATCAGTCACTCACTGATTTTGAAGGGAATGAGGATATCTTGTATTCAGACAAGTGAACAATATTTTTGAAGGTTGTTCTTTTGGAAGAATGTTGCAGCTGTCTGTTAACTGATGGTTTGTTTGCATTTATTGTAAAAGAGATGGGCAAGCCTGTGAGCCCCTGGGGCACAAAAGTCATTGAAATGCATACTGTGGTGCATGTTCTGTCCTCCACGGGAACTGAAGCAGACACAGAAGAACAGAACGCAGGGAAACAAAGTCAAATCTCCTGAGAATCGTTAAAGAATGTATATCAATGTCTAAAAAGTTAGTGAAGTGTGTACAGCTATCAGAATCAGACAAATAAATTGCAAGGAAAAAGAAATCTACAAAGGAAAAATGGTTTAACAAATAAGCTAGCTTTCTTCTGGATATCGTATTATAAATATCTTTTTGAACAGCAGGGTTAGTAAAGCCTTGTTTCCTGTGGACTTTCTTGTTTCTAAACATTTGCACACGTGAAGCCTTTCTTGCAGTAGATGTTTGCGGTTGTGCTCTCCCAGGTGGGTTCTACGATGCCTGATGTTCGTTGTGTTCTCTACGTTAATCGTAGTAGTAAATCATCTTCTCTGCTACCTGTTGTCATCAGAGCTGTAGGAACTTGGTTTCTTTCAGGCTGTTAACCTCTCAGTTGAAATGAGTTGCGTTCAAAAATTCTAAAAGAATTTTATAGCATAAATATGCATGCTTCCATATGGACGTAGTACAGCTGCATACCCATAGTTTCCTTTGAAAATCAGGCTAAAAGGAAGGATGTTACAGTAGGTCTGACTACTCGAAGAATCAAATCTTTAGGGCAAAACTGAACTTTGATTGGTCTTTTTAAATCCCTTGACTTTTTAAGAGTGAAGAAAACAGGAAAATGGGTTAAGAAAGAAATGAAGATCCATAGAAATAGAAAACCCCCAAACCCAACATTGGCCCTAAATGCACAGTTGTTTTTACACGAATACATCTCATCCAAGGCATTCGTCCTCACCCTGAGGAGATGTTCTCAATCCACAGGAGGGTGTGCTCGACTGCAGCTGAGTGATTGCCTTGGGTGGGCAACCGCCAGTCTCTGGAAGAGATGGCACCGGCTGTGTCGGGTGGGTTTGTTGGCACATGACGCACGTTTACTTTTTGTGCTCCTTTCGTGTGATTTGTGACTGCAGTACGTCTGCATTTTCTGTGGTACAATAAGAAGGATGGTCTGGCCATCTGAGGAGAACTTCTCATTGCCCATTGTGCAACAAGTGTAAAGTGAAGTAACCAAAGGGACAACACGTGATCCAATTTTTACTCTACATGTAACATCAGGTGTCACTACGTATGTATGCTGCTACTAGGGCAGAGTAGTGATGTCTGTCGGAGCAAGGACATTGGGGTGCCAACAGAGGAAATTGCTCAATTCTGCAAGAAATCCATCTTTCTACAGGTTTAGTTTTTAGAATCATTACTGACCACCACTGTGACCAAGGACTGTAGATAAAGCCATCTCTGTCTTGGTGGAGGGAGGAGCAGGAATAAAACTGCCTTATTTTCTGTGTCAGTCTATCAGACATTATTTACAGCATTAATATGTACTATTTTTATTTAAGGAGTTTTATTAATGTCTCTTGGAAAGAAACCTTTATGAGCAGCACATGCTGTGAAGAAGCTAGCCTACAACTCGGAAGACTAGCATGGCTTCAGTGGAAGTAATGCAAAGTTCCAGAGGAGAGAAATACTTTTAATGGGGAACATTGTGAGTATTGGGAATTCATCGGCATTTTTACTTACTCCGTCTCATGAGGATTATCATTTTTGCACCCTGCCCCCCCATTTTTTATTTGCTGTTACAAGGAGCATGAGATGCTGTAAGAACTTGCAGGTGAAAATCCTTGACATAATGAATTAAAATAAAATTTGAAGGTAGACTTGATTGTTTTGTGAATAAGGATAATTTTTGTGGTTTTGTAGTTCTGTGTCATTTTCCTATAAGACCATTCGGAGATTAGTGTAAGTTATATGCACAAGTACTGTAATGAGCCTGAAGAAATTTCACAGTAGAAAAATATTTTGTTTACATTGTTTCTTTTAAAAATAGTTTAATAAACCTTACATATGGATGATTTAAAACCTAGTGTCCCTTGATTTGTTCAGCTTTATCTGTGAAAATACAAGCATAATCATGTTATAGTTCTTTTGAAATAAGGTGATGAAATGTTGCACACACTGTATTTCTGCCACAGTATGAGACTGAAATTGCTTA